TGCACTGCACGAGGGCAGGAGAGGGAGGGGATCGAGGGACCTGAGCTAGCCAGGTGGCGCCGCACAATCACTTAGTCTTCAAACTAAGGGACAAACCTTGGACAAGCAGGCAGTCTTACCAGCTCCTAAGGCTCTGTTAAGAAGTATGGCCATCTTCTGGCCTCCCTGACATCCCCCCCGGCCAATTCAAGCAGCTGACCTCCAGGAGAGCAAGCAACCCAGTGCTGCAACCCGTGGGCCACCAGGTCTCGAGCACACAGCTTGCAAATGCACTCACGGTCTGTCTCCTGCGGGTGCCCCCAGAGAACAGCACACACTGGTGCCCAGCCCCTGTCCTAGGCTCCCTGCGGCCAGCGTCTACTCACCAGGCTCACCGCCCAGGGACCCAGGTCCAGAAACCTCCCTAGCAGGTCCAGGGCCCTCAGCCGGTGCACCTGGCTCAGCAGCACCTGTGGGAGAGGTGAGGGCGTTATCACGGAGGCCGCAGCTGCTCTGCCATGGAGCCCCACCCGCCACGCGCTCTGGGCAGGACCTGGTCTGACCAGACAAGGGTGCCTTGGTGGCCTCCTTTCCGCACAGCCCCTGCGGAGACGGGTCGAAGAGCACACTCAGGCCACACACGCCCACACACTGGGAGGGGCACGCAGCCACTCCCCGGCAGCTCGCCTGAGGCTCTGCCCTTGACACCCAGCCACACTCCTGCTACAGCAGCTGGCTTCTGCTCACGGGACTGCACGGGGCCTTCTTCTAGTCGCTATCATTTCAGCCCCAGCTCGGCGGCGTCACTTGTACCCTCCGGCCCACGTGTGCGCCTACACCACCTTCGTGGAACAGCTCACGGGGCCTGTGTTCTGCCGGGGCAGGCTCACGGTGCCACCTGGGCCAGGGGTCACCAGGCGTGTGGTGGGTAGACAAGCATCAGGTGCTTCCAGGCCCAGGGCTGGCTCCCTGAGCGTGTGCAGGACAAGGGAGAGAGCCTCGGAGGAGTCAGCGCCTAGCATCACCGCAGGAGCGCAGGCAGTCACAGCACTGTCTCCTCCCCGGGGTTCTGTTTTAACAAAGAGGGTGCCCAGGACGACGAGCAAGCACAGTTCCAGCTCGGACCTACACGCCCAGTCTCTTTAGTCCTTGATGGTTGTCAGCTCTGCTGTGGGTCTGTGAGGGGAGAGACTTGCGGGCATTCGGCCATGGATCGCGTGAACGGCTGCCTGCCTCTCCACACCCCACAGTGGCCGCTCTCCCCGGTGTGCTTGTAGACACAACATGAAAACGCTGTCTGTCAGTGGCAGCCCATTCCCAGAAGCCCTGCAGCCGGGCGGGCAGAGACAGACCATGCCTCCTGGGCCCCCGGCCATCATGGCTCTTAGGCAGGGCCGTAGTCTCGAGGACGAGCATACAGGTCTTGCTGATTCACAGTGCACCCCACAAACACCCCCAGG